TTCGTAGAATCCCTTTTTCTCGTTTTCTTATTTTAAATGTCACTTCTTTCTTTTATTTTGCGATATTAATTTTCGTTTCTCGCTTTTTGTTTTACACAGAAATCCTAGGAGTCCTAATTCAACTATAGGAAGGCATTCATGGATAAGAACATCGCTTAGGCGGACACCACCGTGGTAAGTCATTTTTTAAATACAGGACAATACAGGACGATTCAGGAACAATGTTACAAGTTATCTTTTTTAATTCGTAACATTAATTTGGCTAGAAAGAAGTAGTTTATCAAGTAATCAATATATAAAACACTGAATTGGAATTTCAACATAAATTTCTGGAATTCATTTATATTTTGGAAATGGTATTTTAGAAATCTTAGAAATACTAGGTATTACATAACATGAAGTTTTTGCACGCTGTTCATAATAAGCAGAATATTTATTTACGACAATATTTGCATTGGAAATTCGAAATTTGTAATATGACTGTAAAACTTCACTTCTTATCGTGGTTGTAATAAAATTAAAATCCATACTTTTCTTTTCTATTATCATTTTTCATGTTCATTCTTAATTGAGCATCCATTTGAACTATATTTTACCGTATTAACCGTTTGAGTATCATACATTCCATCGCGAGAAATGCTACTGCCTCGGTTCACAAATCTCATTTGTTACAGTGTTAAGAGTCTATCTCAGTATTAGCGATATGATTTGAATTTTCGCTCGTTCCTTCTACAACTTTCTCAACATCTAAATGCAATCTATGCAGCGAACCGTAAATATTTTTATAATTAGGTTAATTTAAAATGATCGTTTAGGAACAGTTTTTCCAAAATTTGTTGTTCAATGGATGACAATGGAAATCTGCAAAATATGAAAAAAGCATGAAAAATCAATATTTTGATACGCAAATTAAGATATCATTTTAATAAAATTCGAATTCTTTATATGATCGTATATTTATAATGATATCAAGCCAATAAATAAAATTTATTTGACATTGTATATTTCTCACGGTGAAGCTCAACAATAAACAATTTTTACATCACTATTTTCAGAATTATCTATTATTAACATAAAAAAAATAGGTTCATTTTACTAACAATGAATATAAATAGAACAAAAAGTCTGAATCACAAATCTCCGTACGTATAAACTTATTGATTATAATTTTTTAAATTAGTAATTTTTTCCCATCTTTATTGCATTGTACAGATTAAATTGTTAGTAAAATTTAGCTGAATATAGTAATTTATGCACTGTCTGTAGATATTTGATCATTTGGTAGGATTGATTAAAAAAAGTTTATATTCTCGTTTTAATGTGGATAGGCGTAAATATTCATAAATAGAAAAGGCATCAGTTTATGTGGTTGATGCGTAGAAGTACTAGGTTGAATTACATATTAAAAATCTGATCGATGAACAGATGAAAATGATGAAAAATGTGTTTATAGTAAATTTATTTGTTTGAGCAACAACAGAGTTAACGATTCTATGAAACGCAGCAACAAGTTTCTTCAATCTTTCTACCTGCACCTCGTACCGGGCGTTTTTTCGATGAGCCTACAGCTGTTTTCTTGATTTTAAACACCAACAATAAACAAACAGAGCGTGCAGTCAGTTGAACCGTTATACTCGAGTGTTTTCACCGAATCAATTTTCGTTCAATCTTTTTCATTACTTTTTTTGCTTATACTAGTTGGCTCTAAATATTATCTGTATCGTTATTTGCTGGTTTTATACGAGTGTACGAGGTAAGTACGGTGACAAGAACAACATTAGAAAGTTTTACTTGAACTATATTTTGTGTATTTCCATGTATTGTAAGGTGAAAGGTGATCGAATTACTTACGGACGATACTATTAGACGTATGTATTCAATATCCCTCTTACTTCCAAGAATCATGTTCTACAAATTTTTAAGCTGTTCATCCAAAAACAACTAATATTTATTTTAAATTATTCGAGATGCCTGATAATCTATCTTATATATTATTATGTAGTTTAACCGGTTGCTTATCTGTGTAAAAAATTCAAGATAATCCGTAACACAGTATTTGTATGATTTAGTAACAAGTAAAAAGAACAAATTCAAAAACAACGTTTTACTTTTTCATATGTTATTATGTTTTATATAATGTAAAGAAATGAAACATTTCAAACTTTATGATTGTAATTAATCTCTTGCACTATGATTCCTTCCGCGGTTATGTTTGATAAAACTCCTTTATCGTTAATAATTTGTTAGAACAGGAAAAGAAGTTGGTGTTTATTCCATGTCTACGTATATTCCAAAGGTTCATGATCGATAATAGAAAAGAAATATTTAATTTACATTGAAAACAAGTAAGTAACATCTACGTCGAATTCAGTTTGAAATTTTCATCACGAATCTGACACAGTGTTATATGACAACGGGTTAATCCATCGCTCATTAAAATAAATTAAACATTTCATCCAATTTCGTTACTTCTTTTTGCTTTTCGCCTATAAGATCACAGAACCAGCGTGAACATATTTCGTTCTTTGTGTTTATTTGCAATGGAAATGGAATATCTCGAGGAAATAAATAATATTCGACCAAATTTTCGTTTCGCATAGGTTTTTCTGTACAATCACTTGCAATCTGCTCGTATTCCTTTAGAAGGGACATTTGTGTCCTCTCTTCTCAAAAGGGGCAGTCGAGTGCAAAGGTTGAAAGGAAATTATTCTGGTATCTGGAACTCGTAGCGTAGCTGTCAAGACGAAGTGCAGTATAATGCTGTGTCCACATTAAAGTAACATCAAACAACTTTCTGTAGATTTTTACAGTCCCTGATAAAAAAATTAAGGCTACCATAGTTTTTAATATTTCTCGTGGTAATTATAGTGATGAAAGTTCAAAAGATAATTTAATAATAATTTCTTCGTCGTAGTGTTGAGATCAAGAGTTAAGAAAAGAAACTAAGTCTGAGCTGTAAAAAATTAATATGAGGATACGAACAGACAAAATTTAGATTGTTGGTTCACCGCTAATCTTCTCAAATTTGGCATCAATGATGGCCCTAAGTTTTTTTATCAGGAACTGTACAAAAGTCGCTACTTGTTGCCGAACGTTTCTCCACGCTTTTTCGCGTTTCCGTTGGCAGCAACAAATATCGACGCAATTGTCTGTTACCGTTCGACATCGAAACGCATACAGACAGTATCAACCTTTTCCTCTTTCCAAAGCTGAAAGGTGCAATAAAATGGCACAGATTTGAAATAATAAAAGGAATAGTGGCAAAATCGATGGTTGAGTTGAGAATCCTTCCACGAGATTCATTTCATCAGTGTTTCTGGCACTGAAAACGATGCCAAAGGTAACATAATAGGGTAATTCCGGGTGAGATGGCCCGATCTCATTTAAATTGTCAAATATCTATGTTTTCAATTGTTTTTAGTAATGTGCTGAATCTTGTGCAGAAGCCTATTTAACTATTCTTTGTATATGTAATTCACTTCCATAAATATATTTTATTTTGTTAGGTATTAATGATATTTATGATGTAATGGTTCTTTAAAAAAAAATGGACCATCTCTTTCCGACTTACCTTAATTGATGTATAAACAAATACATTTTGAAATGTATAACAATTCCGGAACTTTTTAATCATAACTACGTAATCCTCGTTGTTGCTTCAGTGAGGAGCTGATATACATGTAAGTCGATGTTTGTTGAAAACATTTCAGAACATGTAGCAATAATTAGCAACTAGTAAAAAGTAGCAATAAGTAGCAACAAGTGGGGACAAGAATTGACAAAAAGTTGCTCGATGTCGCTTTTGTGTGGACAGAGCTTAACTTCGGACGTTTGAAAACCGCAGGAGACTGTGCCCTCGCGTGATGTTTTTAAGGTGCATTCCACGATCCTTCTGCTTCACCCCAATAGTACAGGTCTGGGATAAAGACGGACACCACTTGGTCATAATTTCAGTAGCGTTTGTTGGTCGCTGTTGGAAAACACCACATGGCTCAAAACAGTTCGAGGAACACGCGAAACGAGTGTACAGGCTTCTGGTTTCTGTTATTTCACAAAAGTGGCGTTTTTGATCCATCGCCAGGAAAACTTCCGACTGTCAAGTTCAGACGAAAATTACAATATTGGATACTTACATATTATACTACCTCTGTTGTCAAGAAACAAAATATTTTAATAATAGTAGTAATAATTATAATGATAATAATAAAGTATTAATAATGTGTTATAATATTAAATAAATGCTAACCCAGATCTAAGCTAAATGACTGACCAGCGCGACCTTCAGTTAAGTATCCAAGTATACCTATTGTTGTTTTACAATTATAATGTTTCTGAGAGACTATTGATGAATGAAATTTATAGTTATAACAGATTACATTTCATTACGTTAACAGTAGAAGTATCGGATAGGTAAAAATGATTTATTTTAGACTTCCTATATCGCCGTTATTTAAAAGAAAGAGGTATTTTTCTAAGAAATTATTTAATAAATTGATTTATTCTTTCACAGTTTATTTATTCACATTCTAAACTAAAAAGTAATGGAAATTTTAATAAATGCAATTTTGTTATTTTCTAAGCAATTTGTATAAGAAAAAATATTTCTAATGTTAAGATGATACTATTGAAGTAAAAGTAATAATATTATAATATGCGAAAAGACGCTTACGATTCGTTCGTAAAACTATTCGTACCAAATAAGATTATATAATAAAATTACAAGAATATAATGGTTAACATTACTTAATGAAATTAAGGTTTAGTAAAACTGAAGTTTTTATCAAGCGGAACGTAAATGTAATAATTCGTTGTACGTAATAAAAACATTCATTGAGATATACTAAACTCCCATAAAATTTCCGTTTTCATCGACTGATCTTTAAAACGTTGAATTTATGTAAATATCCACAGTTCGCATCACTCTTGTTGCTTTTAGCTTATACTGTAAAAAAAGTTAGTAAATAGTCAGCACTTCGAAGTATCCATTAATTGGCTGAAACGACTTAAATTACGATGACGTTGAGTAGTATCATTCGCGGGTAACGTGATCCCCTTTTAACAGTACTGATGAACGTCGAAATTCTTCGACGGAAAATAGAAATAATGACTTTCGTAATCTAACAATAGAACGGATATAAATTCAATGAAAGTGTTGTCATGTTGTACAGTGCTAC